TTTTCAAGGGAGACCTGCAGCAGTAGGTTCCACAAGAAGACATAAACAACAGAACAACAAAAGGACATCATACAGCAAAATGTACAGGGATTACAATTTACATATTTAACCACAAGTACAGGTACCAACAGCATCTGATTTTGTAGCATCCAACCGAGCTTTAAAAACATGTAGTGGTACTAGCTTGGTAATTTTCCATTCTTTTTGCAGACTGTTCCATGTTAGTGGAGCTGCACATCTAAAAGCTTTCTTCCCTAAAACAGTCCTAGCACTTGGCACATTTAATAAAACCACAGCATGCGATCTCAGGCAATAAGTACTTTCAATTCGCAGAGAGATCAGGGAGCAGATATAAGATGGTAGTTTATCCAACATGGCTTTGTAAATGAAAAAGTACCAGTGACTGAGCCTCCGTACAGTAAGTGATGGCATAACCGCCTTGGTATACAGGGTACAGTGATGCGTAAGTGCTTTACAATTTGTCAAAAATCTCAGTGCACTGTGATACGCAGCATCTAACTTGCTCAGGTAATTGGCAGGTGCATTCATATATAACAAATCACCATAATCCAGCACAGGTAAAAAGGTCACAGTGACTAGCCTTTTCCTGGCCTCAAGCGAGAAACAGGACTTATTTCTGTAAAAGAAACCTAGCCTAACCCTCAGCTTTTTAAGCAGGTTATTGACATGAAGTTTAAAAGTGAGACAGTCATCAAGCCAGATACCCAAGTATTCTTACTAAAGCTCTCTTCATTTCTGCAGGTGATAAAACCTTGGCTTGCCCTCCTTGAGCCTAACAAGAGCAGCCTCTCCCAATGCAATGAATGGCAGGAAAGGATTATGGGAAGAGATGCTGGGTTTACTAAAGTTCAGAGTGTATGAAGATGCTTGAAAAAAAGAGAAGGACAGAAACTAGCAGAGGCAAGAGAGAAAGAGAGAGGCAGGGAATATCTTATAGTTACCTCTGGGGTAATTATGTTCCCTGCATCCTATGGGCCCCATTTGTAAATGTGCGGACCATGGCCAGGTTCAGTGTGTAAATCAGAGGCCTCTTCCCCCCCCCCGGATGCTCCATGACCTCCCTGCTGCTCACATCCTGTTAATCAGCATGGGAGAGACAAAGCCCCCCGCCTCCATCTTTATTCATCCTCTGTGAATACTGTACTTATTTTTACTCCACTGCATTTATTTGCCAATTGCAAGCATACATTTGTATTTTAATCTCTTAAGTACATTTTGCCAATATAACTTTTGTTCTTTTACTTAAGAAAGTTTAAATGCAAGGAATATACTTGCCATTAAGCAATTATAAGCATCATCAACTAAAAGTAACTATACTCACACCTGCAAAACTGTCAAACTCTCAGCACTTTAAAATGGATTACATCCCAGCTTTCACTACTACTGGTCATTGAGGGAAGGCATATTAACAAAGATGTGACTATAAACAAAAACAAAAGTGTTGATGTCTCAATCTCTTTATAGATAATAGAAGAAAGATTTTGAGATTTAGATATGGCTCAGCCACGCTCTTGTTCTGACTGATGTGTGCACGTGTGCCTCGGTGTTGCAGATCCCAGACAGTGCCTGCAGACACACATGTCCACTGCTGCTGATCTCTCAGAGCTGAGTTTGACATTGGCATGCAGATAAACTGTGAGTGACATTGGGGAAGATGTTTCCAACCTGGTATGCCTGTGCTTCAGGGATAGAAACGGAAGAGGAGAGATGGTAAACACATACCACCCGTAAGTCTATATGGATGGGTGAGGCAGGGGGATGGAGAGGTGTGGAATTCTGTTGACAGGGGATGTTAGGTGATTCCGAGTTGTTTGTCAAGCCCAGAGCTGTTGTTGACTGTGAAGCCTGCTGAATAACAAACTGGGAATTCCCTTCAAGAATAACACTTCTCTTTTCTTTTCATCTGTAGGACAAAGTGCATTTAGAGGATAAAGCAGGTGCAGCTTTTTGAACATGAGTCAGACTGAAGCTGTAGGACCTGTTTATAAAATCTTTTTCAGTTTCACTCTTACATATAACTCTGTCTCTGCTTCAAGTGCAAGCCATCTTCTTGGTTTTGCATGTCTAACTTTAACTTAAGGAATAGCTGCCAAGAATTAATTGGTTGGTGTCAGTTGACACTTTGGTTACTAGCCGCAATGCTGGTTGTGTTTTTACCTTTTGAGTCTGTGTGTATGTCTTCATGGCAAAGTTGGGGAAACATACTGTAGCAGGAACTACCACAGACGAGGTTTTGAGTACTGTGCCAGGTTTTATATTTCTGTCTCTCTATTTCTGTTTATTCATTTCATCACGGTGATGGTCCCTGGCCACATTCTTTGGTAGATTGAGATCAAATGAAGGCTGAGTTTGAAGATGGGTGTGGTCTCTGGTCTGAGGAAGGGTGGCAGAAGTTGTGGGGTAGGAGGTAGGGAAAGGTTCTATGTCCCCCCCACACACCCACTTAGCACTCCTGGCCCAATTTAGCCTCGCTGCCACTCTGATCCTATCGCAGACGGTCTCTAGTTTCACATTATTGTTGATGCTCTCTTGGCAAGAGCCACAGTAATTATTGGAAGTTTCAAAGCCTCAAGACGCAGCTGCAATACTCTTTTCATTGGTACATATGATGGTAAATAATCTGCACAATGAGAAAACAAATGTATACACTTTTTTCATTCTGCACGGATATGCCGATGACTATGACAACCAAAAGCACAATGCTTTTATAGTCGTTTTCCAGCATTCTCTTTCCACTCCAGTAGAACATATAAGGGATTTGGGCCTACCTTAAAATAGGGTCCAATGCATTTTGACATGTTTGTCGGTTATGATTTACTGTGTGTTTTAACTTGTTGAAAGGTCCCACTGCTTGCAAGCCAAAGCCATAAGAAAAACAAGCAACCATAAAAAGCTGTGTGGTGTAAACAAAACAGTGGAAAAAGTTGTAGTGTTTTTAATATGGTGAGTGTTTTATTTATTTAACAAATATGAAATGCTAAATCAATGCACTGTTTATATACCTGTCAAAGCAGTATGGTATAGTACCACTGTGCCTGGTAAATACACTGCTTTCACATCACTGTTGATTTTAAGTCAAATAAAGTCATTTTTCTCCACTGCCACCATTCAAAGCTCTGTGCAAAGTAGGTCAAACTGAGACGGAAAGTATAAGGACATTTAACATACAGAATACATTCTGCAGCCAAAGCCCAACACACAAATCAAACTGCTTTCCTGTTCAAACACTTGACTCCTTCATAAACCTCAAACTGGAGTTCACCCAAATACCTTCTTGCTGGAAAAGCAAGCCTGTCAACCAAAATCTTTAATATATAAAAATGTGAGGTTAGAAACATTTATCCAAGATCATGCATTGTAAAAAGTAATTGGCTTTAAGTTATTTTAAAACTGAGCAGTTATAGATCAAGCTATTCAGCATCAGATCATCATTTGCATTAGCATCCCCATTAGCACTAGCATGAGCATTTGCTAATATTATTAAAGCTCTGGCTTCATAGATTGTTGTAAGAAGCAAAAGTTGATCCAGAAGACACAGGACAAATAAAACAGCATGAAATAGGGTGGGACTCATTTGAAATGTCTCATCTCATTAACATTTCAAAACCTACCAAGATTGCCAGTAAACTGATCTGTATTCAATCATCAGGATTTGTTCTTACAATGCAGGAAGGATTTCTGCACATTGACAACACTTGATTCACATGAAATAAGCTTTGATACAGCTTGGTTATAATCAACACCTTGAAAAAGCAATTCAGGCGCGTGTGAATATGCCTTGACGACGCCATGAATCCTTGCAGCCAACAGATAAGTGTTGTCACACCCAGGAACAAGAGTGGAAAGCATCTCCACTGGCATCAGCCGTGATGTTCTGTTCAGTCATTGCACTTGTTACTATCCACAAGTGTAGAACAAGTTAAAGTCAGGGGAGGTGGGCTGGGAATAGGTTCTTAGAGCAGGTAGTTTGCCAAGAGGCTTGTTTTAAAACAGCTCATCCTTCAAGACAAGACTCGGGGATGAAAGCCTGTATTTGTTTTCTGATCAGTGAAATTAATTTAAACTCCCCAAACAACTAGGAGTGATGCTGCCCTCTGTTGGACAGAATGTAATACACATAACCTTTTTTCCATGATCTAGGCCTAGTGAACCAAATGAAGACATTGCATCTGTGAATGTCTTCAAGAATGTTATCAGACAAACTCACTACACTGCACGGATGGGCTGATATTAAAATTGCTCAACAAAAAAATTGCAAGCTTCCCATGCTTGTAAGAAAACAATATCCTTTTTTGTGGCAGTAAGTAAAGGTGAGGCTATCGTGTATTACTCTATACATTGCAAAGTAGCCAATTATCTAATTATATATTAGTCGTTTTATATTATCCAATTATGCAAAGTGACTTTTATCTTAAAAACGAAATATAGTTGACGTAAAGCATTAATATACTTTTGCATTCAATTGAAATGGGAGTTTCATCCCACAGGCCATAAGAATGTTAAACACCTGAACTTTTGAAAGAAGATACATCAGTTTGCAACTCACATATATCAATATTCCAATTACTGTATATAGACTCTATTTTATCTGTTTGTGTTGCACTGTTCGAGGAGCCTGTGACCCAAGATTTTCATTGTCATAACTGCCCCGTAGCTATACACACGACAATAAAAGCCTTGAGTATCTAGATTTTTGATCATTTCAAAAAGGATACAAATCTCATAACTTCATGAAGTAAATGTACATTGAAACTAAATCCTCTCAACGTCCACATTATAAACTACATTTGTAACACGTTAGCATATTTATTTAAACAAGATATCGTCACTGATGTAAAGGAATGATAACTCTGCAGTGGATTTACACACTGGTGTGAAATAATCACTAATATGCCTTAAGCTAAATGTAATGATAATATTTATGAATTTTTTTTTTTTTTTTACTATGAGTATGAACAAAGTAAAAACAGAACACCAACTGATCTTAATAACCAAATTTATTTCATAGCATCTGAACAAGTGTCAAATAAGACCACATTTATTCCATAGCATCTGAACAAGTGATATCGAGTGATTCCTCACTGCATTGGTCTCGCATCTCACAGCTCAGGGGCACTGCAAAGAGAAACAAATTGAAAAAGGTCAACACACCACCTCAAACTCAACCAGCATAATAAAAACAACATTTTCCAGTATAAAACAGCAGGGTCTTTAGTTCAGGTAACGGATTGCTAAATCTCATTTGTAATTTGTGAATAGACAGTGCTACGTATTCGACTCAGCCACCTGTCGCCTTCACTCGTCTGGTGATTCAGGAGGAAATAAGTCCACGAAGAGTAAACCAAGTGCAGTCATGACAAGCTTACAATATGAGTGGTAGACAACCATTCATCACTAGGTTTACTAAAAATAAATATGAATCCGTTACATAACACAGGCATAATCCTTGATTTGAGAAGCTTAGCGTTTCTGTTACCGAGTGTCAAAGAGCTCTAGTTTAAATTCTACGGTCATTTCATAAAGAGAGACTATAGTGTTTTTATATTTGACTATTAAAATATGTTTTAATAACATGTGGTCTGACATACATACATACAGAGGACATGACATAGGAAAACCTTTTTTGTGGGTCAACACTTGTTGCAGGATTCAAATATTAACTTGCTGAACATTGTGCTTGAGCAGAGATTATTTCTGGTTGCACAAGCTATTTAACGAGACAAGATGCATCTAAATATTTTTTACACTCACTTTATTGTATTAAATTATACACGTGCCCAGTTCAAAATAGCAGCCTAAGCCAATGTTTTTTTTTAAATAGTTCTCTAATGCAGTGTTTTTCAAAGTGGGGCCCCGCCAGGGGGGTCACGCAAAGTTTAAGGGAAAGGGGAATTTTTTTTTTTTTTTAATGTAATTAATAACTGCATATCTATCAATCTATGTGTCCTTTGATACCAATCTTTTAATATTTTTTATTTTATTGTTTTTAAATCACACGACCGCCCTTCAAGCCAATCAGAATCGAGCTGCCGCTACTGAGAGTGAAACTGAGTATCTGCTCAGCTTTTGGAGCAAGTGAGAGCTAGTGAATATTTCGCTCTGCAGCTGGATGAGAGCATGGATGTAGCAAATATTGTTGTTTATATATGAATATAAATATGTTTATTGTTAATATTAATGTTGAATATTATATATAATATTATTAAGGCATAAGTAGCTTTCAAAAATGCTAAAAATATATGTTAATTGTTCATATTACTGTTCAAAATTATATAATATTATAAAGACAGAAATCACTTTAAAAATATGTTTACTGTTGATATTACTGTTTAATATTGTGTTAAGAATGTTTATAACAGAAGACACAATGAATGTAATGAATGACAAACAAAAGATAAATACAATTTTTTTTTTGAAGAATAACTGATTATTAATACAAATATATATTAAGAAAATGTATTAAGCTGTATGATTAATTTGTCATATTTTCCATCATATTGTACTCCTCATTAAAAAAAAAATTGCAACAGGTGGGTCCCCGACGGAGGATAATGCTATATGGGGGTCCTTGGCATGGCAAAGTTTGGGAACCCCTGCTCTAATGCACAAAGTTAGCTTGATGTACTCTAACACCTACTAGTGAACACTCCTAACAGACATGACTGACTGGGTTTATTCCCCTCACCTATCGCAGCCTCCTGGCTTCTCTTTCAGACTCCAGAAGTGTCAGCACATCTCCCTCTCTGACGGGGCCCTTCACGTTCCTGATGATGGAGCGGTTGCTGTCGTCCATGAACTCAACACGGACCTGTGTGTTCAGATGAAGAGACATGATCACAATTAGAAAGAGATCTACAGGTACATCCTAGTTAAGAAGTTAGTGTCCTACACAGGTATTACCATTATCTATATATCGCCATTTTCGTAAATACACAGAAGCTTGTTGAATGTTCAAATGTAATGGTGTATCATAACAAAATATACTTTATGATCCCCAGGGGAAATTGAACTGTGCAACATACTTTTACCATCCTACATGTGTTTATTACCTTTAGTTACCAAGAAGATTTGGATTAATGGTGTGATATATAAAATCAACCCTTAAAATGAAGTAAATTCACAAGCTACCCTGCATTATACAAAGTCATTAAAACTAGCTGCACCTTTACCAGCTTTGATAACACTTTAATACATCAATATTTATAATAAAAACAAATGTTATAACTTATTCTGAAATGGGCCAATCTGCATTATGAGTACTTATAATAAGTACGTATTTTGCGTATATTTTGATGCCACTTTTCCTTGAGTACCTTTTGATAGCAGGGCTTGTAACAGAGTATTCCTTCACTCTTACTCAAGTAAAATATGCGAATACTTTTTCCACCTCTGCTTGAGACTAAAACGCAAGCCCTTACGTAGATTTGTAGGATGTAAGAGTTGTCTTTTTCCAGGTAAAAAATAAAACAATTAGACGAATAAACAATTGCATTAATCTACAACGTGGGATATTTCGGGATGTACTGTGTTTTTTAAAATATAATTATGAAGGCTTTTGCTAAACAAAAGACGCGATGAGAGACAAGCCCTGTATTAAATGGGTAAACTGCTAGCTGTTAGCATACCTGTGTACATTGTCCCTGGGAACCAGTTCTTCCGAGCACCTTGGTGACCTGTTAAAAAAAACAACACAAGTTATAATGTAGATACGATATGTTAAATTAAGCTTGTTTTCTTGTGTGAACTAGAAACAGTATCAAACCGTCTACAACAGGCTAACAGTGGGCAGGCTGTAGCATGGACAGGCCTCCATGTTGGAGGCATGAGCGCCGCTGTGCCTCCGCTAAACTATGTTCTAAAGTAGTTTTAGCTTCAATATTCTAGGACCGTATATTACATTATTCGTTACTGTAGCCCTCTATCCGTTCGGATATGATTATTTTCGCCTTATTATGCATTTTCTTACTCTGGCGAGCTTGATCGGCTGCACGCGGCTGGCGTCCATGTTGTCAGGTTAGACCGGAAAGGAAGTCACGTGGTGCGCGGCAGTGATATATAGTAAATGTAATTCTTGTTTGTTTTTTTTACGTCCCAATTTTGTTAAAAATGTTATCAAATTAAAACAATCATATATCAAAAATAAATGTATAAATAACACGCAATATTATTTAAAATAATTGAAATAGTATTTAAGATACCCACTTCCTTTTCCGGGGAATGGCCAAAACCATTCACACACTTTCATGGGTGGAATCCAGGGCTATACCATTCATCCTTGTATTGTAATCTTTTCTCCAATAGCACTTATTTTAACTTTTGATTTGATTGAAATTTAATATGGAATGTCTCTATAAGGTCAACCGTATTTTTAACATATATTCATGCCGTTGTTAATTATTGCCTGTTTTTTTATTGTATTTGTTCAGAGACACATATTTTCCATTTCTCTATTGCAGCATCAAACACATAGGCCTATTTATTTTTTAAGCATATTCTAATTATTAGAGTGCATAGTTAAACTTAATCATAGTTGTATTCTATACACTGTAATTTTGTTTTGTTTAATCAAAATGTGATTTAACTTTGACTATGCTATGTTCTGAGAAACTAATGTAAATATCCATTTAAAATGAATGCTCCAATGCCAAACAGGAATTATATTATTTATAACAAAAATATATTTTCTAACATGATGATTTATACCATTTATTTATTCTGTGACTTTAATTGAAATACAAACTCAGGCTTATTTTTGACTGTTATTTTTAGCTGTACACTATAGCCAGTGTAATATAACTGCAGCATTCAAACGAATTCCCTGTGCTAAAGCCTCTTCATAGCATTGTTAGCTTTACAACACTGTGATCACAGCACTCTCTCCGCCTCTCTCAGAACTCAAAGCCTTAAATCACAACACTAATCCTCGTGAACAGTATTTTTAACTTGCGTTTGGACAGAAAGAACAGCAATAGGATTAGAGAATCAGTAAAGAGGCTGAATCCCTCACTCATGCTGTTGATCTTCTTGGACACTGAGAGACAAGCACGGTCGCTCTTTCTTCACATTTATTTCAACCTGAAAGCATTTTTTTCAGAGGACGATATTAAGCCTTAATGGAGATGTCTTTGAATACTTATTGTTTTTCACTGACTTGATTGACACAAAACCGTTGTTTGTTTGTTTTGTTTTCTGAGGATCTGTCACAATGGAGGCTTTAAAGCCCAATATCAAAGTACTGAAAAAGCGTCGCTCGAGTCTTTTTGCAACCATAAAACGGGAAGTGAGTTTCTCACACAGCATTGAAGACCAGGATTGTGAGTTCCCCTTTTCACAGGACAGCTCTATAAAACCATGGACATCTATGGAAAACCTTGATGCACCTGATGAGAAAAAAAAGACGGGAAAAGATCAGGAAAAACCTGTGAAAAATCCTAGGAAATCAAACATTGTCAACCTTAATGTAGGCGGAAAGGTATTTCACATTCCGACGCATTTGATCCTCAAACACCCAAAAACCAGGATTGGAGTCCTTGTCCTCTGTAAAGATCCGGCCAAACGTCTGACGCTCTGTGACGATTACAACGTTCAGAACAACGAGTTCTTTTTCGACAGGGACCCCATGTTTTTCCACTACATCTTCCACTTCTACTGCAGTAATGTCCTGTGGGTGATGGATAGTCTCTGCCCTATCCACTTTGAACAAGAGATGTTATTCTGGGGGTTAAAACTGAAGGACACTCCAAGGTATGCTGTAGATACTGAATATTTACTTTGTGTAAAGTAGAGGTTGGTCTGTTGCTTTTTGTGTAATTTAAGCGAACGTTTCTCTTCAGAATAGACAATACATTTTGTTCTTCCCAGGTGCTGCCGCATTCTGTTTGAGGAGAAAGTAGACGACATCAGAGACCAACTGAAGGTGAACCAGGAGTTGATCGATGAGATTAAGCCTCACCAAGATGACGATGGATACAAGAAGATGTTTCTCGGAGGCTTAAGGAAGATCCTCTGGGACTTGATGGAGGATCCTTACTCCTCACTATCAGCAAAAGCATTTGCCGTGTTTTCCAGTCTCTTTGTGCTCATCTCCATTGTTGCCATGACAATGAACACAGTAAATGAACTGAGGCAGTACAAAATTGGAGGCAAAACCTACATGGAGTGGGTAGAGATATCTTCCATCCTTTTCTTCACCTTGGAGTACTTCTTGCGTTTACTCACCACATCCAACATCAAGCATTTTCTGAAGAGTGCCCTGAACTTTGTTGACGTGGTCGCTGTAATGCCCTACTTCCTCCAGATCATGTTTGAAACATTTGTAATGGACTCAGAAGACATTGGTGCAAAAGAGGATTTGAAGGCCATGGCGAGGGTCAGCAAAATCAGCAAGGTGCTCAAGGTGGTCAAGTTGATGCGCATCTTTCGTATTTTGAAGCTTGCTCGTCACTCAACAGGCATGAGGGCTTTTGGCTTTACCATCCGACAGTGCTCTGAGCAGGTATGGAGGCAAATATATGAGAAACACAAAAATACTTTATTGAGGGGACGTGCACAAATAAAACAATGGATCCCAGCTAACTCACATACGAAGTTAAGGCTATAATAATTGATTTACAATAAAAGTAAAACTACTCATATTAATGAGCCTGACACAGAACGATTACACACACTTTAGGGTCTTTCAACTCATGGTTTTTGTTTTCACGCCTGCCACTTCCTGCCAAGCTCTTAACTGCCAAGAGACAAAGTTTACTGCTAGCTCGTAAACAAAGTGGTGCATTAAGCAGCTAAAAAGCAGATATTTCCCTCAAGAGTGCGCAGAGACCATAACAAAGCCAACAGCAGATGCTAATGTTGCTTCTTCATCATTAAGCTAACAAGTCACTGTATCAACTTTATACAGCTTTGTATGATCATAACATTAAAATATGTTGAGCTTATGTTCCCTGCCGCCTAAATCCCCCCAAAATCCATTGATGAATGTGTACTGTTTATCCTGGGAACTTGATAACTCAGGACCCACGAAGAGTTATGTAAACCTTCGCCATTTTTAAAAGAGAAGAAGCACAGTAAAGGCTTTGTTGTTTTTAAGTCGAGGTGGTAAAAAGTAATTACGCTTTAAGGTGTTCTTGGCAAACTGAAACTGAAAATGTTGCTATTCATTTAAAAAAAGATCTGCGTGACCATTTTGTAGTAGTTCATGTACAATATTTAGGTATTTTAGTTCAGTCATAATACAGCTTAAAATTGTCATGTGACTTGCTGGTTGTCTTCAATGTATGAATAGATCTCCAAACATGATTGGGCACAGCTGTTTACATGTACTTTTCTGTCACTATGTAGGTGTGCTGTCTGTTTCTGTTCATCGCCATGGGCATCTTCACCTTCTCTGCTCTGATGCACTCTGTGGAGATCGATCAGCCTGGAACACCGTTCACCAGCATACCAGACGCCTGGTGGTGGGCAGCGGTGAGTGGAATAAACTTCAACGTCCAAATCATCCTAAACTCTGGTTCTTGGTTTATTTTCTTGACCTTGACTAGAGAGGTAGAACTCTATTTTTGCTGAAAAACATTTGTATCATACGATCTTAGCTGCATCCAAATAGTGTAAAGTCAGTTATTTTTCCCCTTTCTTACCATTTTCCTTGACCTTGACGGACACGTCATGAAACAACATTATTTGTATGGAACAACTAAAGGTACTAAGCATTTAGAAGATGGGACCAACTCTAATGGTAACTCTAATCTTCTTATAACTCATGGCATTTCCCCCTAAAGGTCAAACTATTCTTTTAATTATTGGAAAGAGAGATAATGGTGTAAACCGAATATTGGACTAAACACATTCTGACCACCAAAGAAATTGCAAAAGATTCCGGTTTCTTTTACAATTCTAGTCGATAGAAATTGTGTCAGATACATCCGGCAATTGACTATGGGGTATAGGATGCAGTACATTTAGCTAATAAACTATCTGAACTATATGCTAATGTTCAGGAATACATATTCAAAGGATCCACCAATACTTTTGATTTCCTTTAAATCATTTGTTGCAAACTATGGTAATTAAAAAATAGTATTTCTTTATCATTTCTTATGAACCATGTTGTGTTGTTCTGCTTAAAAATAATAACTTCCCCAAACTTTGGTTGCTTTTTGTTTTAATTTACTAGTCTATTTTTCCAATTTCATGAACTGTCATTTAGGGTCATTTGGGTTGTATTCATCTGGTGGCAGCTGTTACTGATATGTGTCTAATCCCCTCTAATACGGTGTAATGCATCTTGTTTGTGGCTAGACAGAGTGATTGCATTCGAGAGACGGAAAGTGTTGAAGAGAATTTGATCCTCTTAACTCTCATCTTAGCGACACATCAACTGATCAGTACAAGAAACATTTTAATTATTGCACTCTCCAAGGCCAAAGGGCATTTTAGGATAGGCACGATGAGGATGAGCATTTGCTCTTTGGGGGTAAAAAGGGAAATCCCAATTTTACATTCTTCCACCATCTTAAGTTATAATTTTCAAAAAAATAATCAAAACAGAGGCACAGGAGTATTGAGCATGGGGATCCTGCCCCTTGCTCTTGCATTTTCTTATTTCAAATAGTGCTGCATGTATGCTGACTCACTTGATTCTTTTCCTACAGGTGAGCATCTCTACTGTGGGCTATGGGGATGTGGTCCCTATCTCCTATATGGGCCGCTGTGTGGCGTTTGGATGCATCTCTTTTGGCATCATCCTCAACGGCATGCCCATCTCCATCCTGTTCAACAAGTTCTCAGACTATTACGCTAAACTGAAGGAACAAGAATACACATATTCAAACACTGTGCGCTCATTCCAGCTCAAGAAACGTCTGAGGCGCAAGTTTGACAACTGCTTCGAACCCCAGCTGGAGGAGTCTGACGACGAGATTCACTATCGGCCCATTGGAAGGCAAACTGTCCACGAGAGCGAGGACTTAGCTGCCCAATAGTTTAAACCTTGCACATTCTGAAAGGCCTTATCACCAATGGGTGGGGAAATCGTGAGACAGTGTCTGCCTCCCAATTTACAGCCTACGTGATTTAAGACAATCCAGGGGAGGGGGCAATGGAGGCGGTGGCAAGTTGAGATAAGCTTTAAGCTTCAGCTTTGCAGTAGGTACTGTTTGCACGCTATGGCCGATGACTCCTCTGTCAAATGGACAAGATGCTCCTGCTGGACAGCTTGTTGTCGGCTTCCAGGAATAGTACTCGACTGCTACTAATTCCAGCTTAACTGAAGGAGGAGGTCAAGGAATAACATTATTAAGAAGCAATGTCATACTTTAATCAATTTAACAGGAAGTGCTATACATAGTCTATTTTAAACAGCTAATCTCTTGACATTCTTGATTTTCCACACAACTGCAGTATAGCCTTGATTTAAATACCAGTCAGTTTTAGCATTGTAGTCATTGCCTTCTACTTTTCTAGTCTAAGAAAATACAAATGTACAAGCAATAAAGCCTCACAGATTTCTGTGAATGCATCATCATGATATTATTGACAAATAAAGCATTTATTTATCTGTCTAGTCAGCGTGCTCTTGATGTTGTGAGGGGAGGAGAGGTGAACCAGGGTCTATCACAGGAACAAACGTGCAGTAGTGTAATTTTTATTTTGTCAAGGATTACCAGGATTTGCGCTTAGGCCTCCTGCCCGATCAGACAACGGCAGAAGTCATGTGCTGTGACTATTTTGATGGCACAGATAATCGGATCAGGTGTGCACCAATTTCAGAACCGGCTTAAAGGTGGGGTATGTAATTCACTTCAGAAACACTGTTTGTTATATTCAATGGAATGCTCTTAACATCCCGAGAGCAATGAATACATTAAATGCTTTGACAATAAATACATACAAAAAACAAATTCATCTGTGGAAGCCGTGGCGCAGTAAAAAGCACGACCAATTATTTTAGCCGGCCCGGCCAAAATAACTGGATGGCCTACCTGCCTGTCAGCCTTCCATCTTGTGCACAAACTTATCTTGTGCCCTCATTGGTCATGTGCGCATTCGTGTGTGTTGGAGGAGGGGCTCTGTAAGGAAGTCTGAAGGAAGTGGCAGATTTTTTTCGGCTGCGTAGTTTCAAATTCTAGCGCACTCGAGCTGGTTTCTCCATTCTTACATACCTTTTAAGATGGGGCAAATAAATAAAAAGCTAAATCTTATCAGACGATATCTGATGGGTTCCAAGATTGCATTTCAGTCAATGCATTTTGCTTTTTGAGCTTTTTAAACAGACTATTTTCCAACATTCAAGCAGCCAGCTAACACTTATTGGGTCAATACTAGTTGGACTGCAAGTGGAAACCAGAAAACTTCCAATACCAAAATCTTGTCCTATTGCCAACAGATTCTGCATGTGTATGTAGATATCTATTCATGTATAGGTTTGGACAGATTATGATCCGCTTTCAGGAAGGATGGAAGTAACATTTGATAAAGAAGGAAAAACTACTTTTTGGGCTACAGGTTACATGGGCATTGTCAATTACTGTATTAAAGTCATTCAACATGTCATTATTTGGCTTGATCACAACAGGGAGGGAGAGCTAAACTCTCTTGACCAGAGGTGTGAGGATCAAGCATGACCCTGTCCTGCGTTCAAGCCGTGACCTGCCGGCTTTGCTTGGCTAAAACCAATAATGAGATTCCTGTCCTGGGCAGCAGTTCTCTGAAGACCAGAGAGCTATGAAGCACATTTATATTGTATTGATTATTCACTAAATGCAACAGACCACGATTACAGTTTACTCTCGAACATATGTTTATGTAGATTTACACACCTTTTTCAACTGAAGAGGTTCCTCCACTCATGGCAAAACACCCAGCACATGCACTGGTTGCATTTGATATAGAAAAGCAGAGCCCTGTGAAGTATTAGCTCCCGACTTCTCCCATATGAAAGACCATTTCTGCATATTTATGAGAAGTTTATAAAATGTATGTTCAATGAGATGATGTGAAAATCATCAGATTAATATAGCTATTACCCCCTTGTTATCTACAAAAATAATTAGTGAAGGAAAAAAACTATATCCAGTTTCTGTGTTTTTTGACAGCTTTAGTGCTTTAAAATATGTTACTGTATGAACTTTAGTCAGAAAGTGCAAACAAAAGCTGGCCAAAGAGTGTTCATTTATGATAAGTATTTCATTTTACAGGCATTTTCTAGATATTTCATAACATTTTGATGTATATACATGCTTTATTTTTTGTAACAAGAGTCCAATCAGTTACTGCAAATATACACAAATATTTTTCTCCTGCAAATTCTGAAAAATGGGTCAATATTTTATTATGTCATTGTTTTTCTTTGTTGTGCAAATGCAAAAAACTACAGAATACAGAGTACAAACACGCTGGAATTTATTATATATAAAAGTACTTGTTCCACAGACCGGTTACAATTACAAAAAGAGAAAGAGCACCCCATCTTGTATTAGCCTCTCTCCACTATAATCAGGACCATCCACATTCCCTTGAGACAAACTTCCATTGCTATTAACAGACACTTGGCTCATTTGTCTGAGGGACGATGCTTCCTGTCTAATAGTATTACAGGATAATGCGAAAGATGCCAGTGGTTTAGTAGTAGGGGTGCACCGAATGGGAAATTCTTGGCCGAAACCGATACCGAAAATAGGAAACAGTTGGCCGAAAACCGAATGCCGAAAGGCCGAAAATGATTAATAGAAATATATATATATATAATGTATACATTTTTTACCAATGTTGTTCAGCTACCTGATTATGGAAATAGACATGATTATGGCAAAACTTAACTTAAATAATAATCACTATTATGGGTCCATAAAACATTTATTCAGCACTTTTGAATGCATACAGTACATTTATATATGTCATGTATTATTGCTAAAAACATTATATCGCAGTCTTAGTGTCGCCAACTCGTTTCTAAAATGCAAAGACAACAAATTCGTCTATGATGTATTTTCGATCAGACGAGATCTCTCTCCCCCGTCTGTGTGCGAGGGGGCGGGGCAGTTTACACACACGCAGCTGCTACATGCAGCGGAGCACACTGCGGAGATGGCGGAGAGAACGCGCTCCGTATGGGCTCAGAACAGTCTCATAATACACACATGCACACAGAAGGATTCAAACTTGTATTTCCGGATCCATACTTGTGTTTTTCAATGCACACACAAATGTATTCCGTTTCATATACATGTAAATAAAATCCAAATACAGAATTTTTTTTTACATATGTATTTTTGATCCTCACATATTTGTTTTCCGTTTAAAACCTCTGCACCTGCAAACACAAACAGCTTTCTGTGCACGGATCGCTTTGCATTCGTGTGTGGGTTTTATGAGACTCCCCTGACGGTCAGCCGATTCGTACTTGTAATTTTTTCTATCTATAGCCAATCAGATGTCTCCTTCATTCTAAGCCAATCACATGAGCGCGCCCCCACGAGGGTAAGATTACTTCATATACGCATTTTGCGCAGTCCGATCAGCTCGCTAAACAGAGGGCGGAGCATCAGGTGATCATGCAGAGCAGCGTGTCTCAGACTCAGCAGCTGATCTGATCTATCTCTTGCATCCGGTTATACTTCACTCGCGTTTATGTCCATATCGATCAGATCCAGCTCTCCTGATCGGCCTTTATAGAGAGCACCGATCAAACTATTAAGAGTGAATATCGGCCGATAATGACCGGCGGGGCTCCCCCCCGAGGTCACTGTCTAGCACTGGCTTCGTAGTGCACTGATCGATTAGGCTAAGCTAACCTGTAGCTGCTCCCTCCACACTCACAACAACTTCATACAGACATAAATAAAGCAGCAGTATTCGCAATCGCCATACAGGAAACACACATTTAAAACGGTTTTGCCTGCCGTTTTTGTGTACACAAGCATTCATCAATGGTTTGGAAAGTGGCGCGGTGCCTTAATAATATAAAGGCTTGTATTTTCGGGCATTTCCTGTTCGGAAAGTGGCGCTGTACTGAGAGTGGAGGGTGTCCTGAGATTAGCGCCTGCAGGCAGGCTCCATGGAGCTGTCAGCTCCGGACTGCGCAAAATGCGTACATGAAGCGCTACGTCATGAACGCAAGAAATCTACCCTCGTGGGGGCGCGCTCATGTGATTGGCTTAGAATTGAGGAGACATCTGATTGGCTATAGATAGAAATAATTACAAGTACGAATCGGCTGACCGTCAGGGGAGTCAAAAAACCCACACACGAATGCACAGCGATCCGTGCACAGAAAGCTGTTTGTGTTTGCAGGTTCAGAGGATTTAAACGGAAAACAAATATGTGAGGATCAAAAATACACATGTAAAACTTTTTTCTGTATTTGGATTTTATTTACATTTATATGAAACGGAATACATTTGTGTGTGCATTGAAAAACACAAGTGTGGATCCGGAAATACAAGTGTGAATCCTTTTGCGGATCATGAAATACAAGTGTGAATCCTTCTGTGTGTATGTGTGTATTATGAGACTGTTCTGAGCCCATAGCTCCGAGGTGTGGTTAAACTTGACCCGTCTCGATGTGGAGAATACTTGTTACCATAAGTGCAATAAGAGTTTAGCATGTAAGCACGAGCAATTTGTCTAAACATTTAGCAAAAGTGCACCGCATGCAGACGGAGGAATGTACCGGGTTCGACCGTCTTTCTAGCAGCTCTGTAGCCCCATCCAGGAGTAACGTTTCCACGTCAGGTGTTATGTATGCTAGCAGCAACACACGGAGTTAACTACATTATACAAACATGGGTTAATGATTAGAGGTAACTGAGTTATTTAGTTTGTTAAAATTTCAGCTATTCTGTTTACAGTCTGTCATCAGATTATTTAATACGATTTGTTAAAGGCTCAGGGCAATCTCGATGACAAATGTCAATGTTCCCCCCCCACTGTGAGCCAGCCGCGAGCATGGTCGCCGCGTCTTTATTACGTCATCACAACAACACGTTAGGTTACCAACGTAAGCCTGTTCTGACATTCGGTGATATTTTTTCGGTGCTAAAACCCTTTCGGCCGAAAGCCGAAAGGGCCTTTTTAACCATTTTCGGCCGATAATTTTCGGTGGCCGAATATTCGGTGCATCCCTATTTAGTAGTGTCGTCAGCATAAATTAAAACTCAAGAGTACCCAGAGATTCTGTCTGTCTCCTGTGACTCAGCCAGGACTGACTGGAGGGGAATATATGTAGTCAAGAGGGACATCAGGTGAGGGAAATACAGACAGACAGGCAGAGGCCCAAACCCAATGTTGGAGAAGAGATGAAGATCAAAATCTTGACTTTAGTTTAGCTTGTAAAAAGTTATATTTCATATATCATCTTTGTCAAACCAGAAAAAGTGTGACTATACCTCATACACAAGCATATCAATTTGAATGAACTTAGAGCAGTATACATGACATACAAGGGCCTCTATTGTGCAAACTCCACTTGTTCATGTATTTGAAAAACACTTGTGTCCCATCCGTGATAAGAAAATTAGTCGGAAAGTTTCAGGAAAAAATATTCTCTCTCTTTTGAAGTCACAACTGTTTTTTGGGGTTGGGCGAAAATTAGACAATAACCAACGAAGGTAACACCCGCCCACCTCTTCCTAGAGCACCAATTGTGTTTTTAAAAAAAAATCCAAACACTTTGCAGAGAGGTGTCGGGAGTGGCAGCTCATTTGCATTTAAAGCAAAAGACACAGAATCAGCACTTTTGAAACAGTGCTGAAACAGTTGTAGTATATGACATGCTACAACGCATGATCTGTTTGGTTTTTGTATATATCTGATATATATCAGATATATGTATATATCTGTTTTTTGTATATATCTGAGACCTATAATATATTATATATATATATATATGTATATTTTTTGAAAAAGAGTATAATAGGGGACCATTAAGCAATACGTTTTAGCTTAGAGGTGTGGTTCACAAGCACACACAGCAACACTGCTAACTTTTTTTAAGGAAAATATAAGTCGCCACAAACTTCTGATGGCAATATCTGGCAGCTAAATAATCCACTGTGTTACCAGCTAGTTGCTATTGTTCCCTTTCTGCTGTTTGGTGCTGGGCAGGTAGTAAACACACATTTTTATCAGAGCTGTGAACAACTGTTGCTGCTAATCAAGGTTGATGATGGCGGTGACAGAACAGTCCTAAAAACAAAAGCAATAAAAGCTCAAATGCTATGTAGGAATGATTGGAAGTGAAAAGTTTTTACACATAGTAATTTACTCCATTGTTTGTATATTGTAAAAATATCAATTTGAACTTTTTAACTGAAAAAAACTTTAGGACCTTCTACAGGAAATACACATTAGGAATCTGTGAGTCAAAAATAATAAACAAGTAAGATTGTTATTTTCAATTCCTAATCCTGCTATCTAATAAGCCAAACACTGCTTACCCTTGAGGAGAATGAGAGATATAATTGCAATCAAGACAGAAGTACATTTAAGATGTTAAACTGCCACCTTCCATATTTGTCATTTGCTGGGAAACAGTCATCTCCGTCATGATTATGCAACCACAGTACGTCCTGGGGTGACCATGTGTGTGAATAGTCAATATCCTTGACATATCTTTGCCCATCACTCTCTGTTCCAATTAGCTCCATCCCTCAAGATGTGTCAAGATAAGTTGCAAAAGCAACACGTATTCAAGTAGTTCACGGTAACACAATAACATGAATTTGGACTTTTCAGAAATTCCAAATGAATATAAGTAAATGTTACAGACATGTCTGTAAAATATTACCATGATTTCACAATATTTAGCTGTAATATTTTACAATAAATTACTGTTTTACCACTTTACAGTCTTTACCTGTAATGTTCACAATATAACACTGTAATTTAGAATTTCACAGTGAAATCAATACAGGCACAGTTAATTACTGTGAATGTACAGGATAAATTATTACCAGGATTTCACAACGTGTTACTGTATTATTTCATAGTAAAATACTGTATTCAGACCATCCTCTGTGATAACACAACAAATTAAGTGATTTTCTTGCTTTTATCGCTCTTGCTTGGCTTTAAATACTAATTTATTTCTTTGGTGCAGGTTTTACTTCAATTGAAAGGGGCACCGCTGCATCTGCCTTCAAATAAACGATGCAACATATAAATCTATGTAACATTTAAATTGTTGTCTTGGCTTAGTGTTTTTAGGTGCATCCTGGGCATTAATCCTGAGACGGACTCGAAAGCCAAAAAGAGGCATGGCAATTTAAACCCCCATGTCAGCACATTCTTCAGAAAAATGGTTGACTTTGAGTGGATGTCTGTGTAGACATGTGTTAAGTGCTCCCCTCCTTGTTTTCTGTCTCCCTGGCTCCGCCTCTGCCCAGGTGCACCTGGTCTGCCCCTGGCTCCGCCTCTGCCCAGGTGTTCCAAATTCCACTCAGCCGTGTGTATATATAAAGAGAAGCTGGAGGAGAAGGATGTCTCGCCTATCCTAACGCCGGAGACACTGTCCTTAGAATACCTCTTTGCCATTCTGAGCTGTAGGCCATATTTTTGCAGATGTGTTTATGTTTAGCCTGGAGGACCTGGTAGTCCAGTTTTCGTGGCTTTATTTGGTTTCCCATAGGGTTTATATTTGATTTTTGGTTAGGCGGGGGAGTTCTGGGTCCTACGGCCCGTGGTGTGGCTCGGGTTCCCTCCTTCTGTTTGTTCCTTTTGGCCAGTCCTCCAGACCTCTTTTTGTTTCGCTTGTGTGAGCAAACGGCTGATTATCAATAAATGCTCGTTACCAAGTACCGGTTATTGCGTGTATTCTTTCGTGTTGCGGGTCTCAGCACAAGCCACTACCGCGGAGTAGAGGTTGGGGCCGTAACAACATTTCCAAGACACTGTGAAATGTACTTTGCACTTCAATGGAGTAATAAAAAGTTAAAATGGGCTTTTTCTTTGTTGATTGAGCTGATTTAATTGTGTAGTTATGGTACAATCCCAGTCAAATTTACAATATATTATCGTATTATTTAGATTTGTATATTTACAGTAAATTACTGGCTACTGTGTTGCATTACTTCTACAGTAATAGCGTGAACATACAGGTAATTACTGTAATTTATGTACAGCAAGGTACCATAATACCACAGCTCTGTACTGCTATATCACAGTAATTCCATGGGCATGGCAACTGTAAAGTCACAGTATTTAGTTGTACTTTTATTCTAATTAACTGTAAAATATATACAGTAAATTACTGTGAAATATTTACAGTCAATTACTGTGAAATATTTACAGTCAATTACTGTGAAATCCATGCAACTAGTAGCCAGTAATTTACTGTAATTTTACAGCCAAACATTTTACAGTGCATAAAAAGAGTGGGGAAGAAAATGAAAAACCCTAAAACAACATTAGGATCTGTAAGCACAGGGTTTATAAGCTATCTCGCTTTTCCTCTTTACAATTCTTAAAAATGACCAAACTCAGACCTGTGTTGGGTTCCAAAGAGTGTCAAAGGCCAAAATAATTAGCTAATTCTTCGGACTTCTCTGACTGATACCCCAATGTTTTTAAGATTGACCCTGTCAGGACAGGTTTTTAATCTCAATGAGAGTTTCAGCCTTGAGGAGACTTTGCATCATTCTCAGGGTAAGCACTAGATCAGGACATACTTTTCCTTCACCAAGGCTAAATACATTTTTCGGAAGACTCTGTAGCCTCAGCATTTTTGAAACCACATTGACTATAAAAGCCCCCTCAAATTCATCTCATAAATCACCGGCGTGCATCCTTCTTGCTCACTGCACATCCCATCCTCACCTCTCAACCACCAGTCCATTTGGTTCCTTTCTCCACTGACCACCCTAGGATCTGAAACAGTCTTACAATGTCTTCTGCTAAGTGTTTGGTGTCTCTGATGGTGGTGCTGGTGGCTGCTCTGTGTGTGGTTCATGGGGAGGAGAGGATCCAGTTGTGTGGGAGAGACCTGATTCGTCTGGCAGTGTCGCACTGTGGTAACTCTCGGCTGAGGAGAAGCATCTCGTACGTACATCTGGGGCAGCATCAAAACACCTGTAAGTGTTTTATATGAAATATTCAAACAACGGTTGCATTGCTGACTTCTATACTAAACATAGGATCACTACTGTTCTTATTTAACTTTTTGAATGTCTGACCTCTGTTTAAGCAATATATGATGCACAATATAATTTGTATTCACTATTCAGGCAATATCTCTTGTTTGTGTTGACTCCAAACCAATGTATATGTTTCCTTTTGAGTTTCACAAGAAGTTTCAAGCAGACGACTACACATTTCGAGGGCTCTCTCTTAATCCCAGATGTTTTCTTCCTCGACACAGGGGACCAGGACGCCTCTGCAGAGGAGCACCAGGCTACGGAGACGGTCCACACTTCGCCAGAATCCAATGGAGAAAAGGACGTGTTCACCTTGGCTCCTCACTTGTACCGCCTGTCCCCTCGAGTTAGACGGGCTGTCGGAAAAATATCTGACATTTGCTGTGAGAAGGGCTGCAGCATGAGGGAGTTGATCCAGTTTTGCTAAATGTAGTTAGGTCTACATTGTAGAATAAAATAGTGTCTTAAAATGTCCTGATCTGTACTGCAATGTTGAAAGAAACCTCAACAGATTTGTCTTATACTCGAGTAGATGGTTTTGCAATTTTAACAATAATGTAGCATCCTTGAAAATACTACACATCCTTAAAGGTGGGGTAGGTAAGTTTGAGAAACTGGCTCGAGATACACTTTTTGTTATATTCCATGGGATGCTCTTAACATCCCAATAGCAATGAATATCTGAAGTGCTTTGACAAAAAATCCATAAAAAAAAATGTCATCTGTGGAAGCCGTAGTACTGTAAAAAGCACGACCAATCATTTTAGCCGGGCCGGCTAAAATAACTGGATGGCCTACCTGCCTGTCAGCCTTCCATCTGTGCACAAACTTATCTCGTGCCCTCATTGGTCATGTGCACGTTTGGGTGTGTTGGAGGAGGGGCTCTGTAAGGAGTGGCAGATTTTTTCCAGCTGTGTATTTTCAAATTCTAGCGCACTCGAGCTGGTTTCTTCAAAATTACCTACCCCACCTTTAAGTATAGAGAGTTGGTCATATTTAATAAATTATTTAAAAGACAGAAAACTGTGTTTGAAATTGAAATTATGGTTTATTCTGTGTTTATTTGATTTATTTCCTGTATCATTGTAGAATACGTTTATTTCCTACCCTTGAACTGTAATAAAGCTTTTGATGAAAATTCACGAGGGTTTCTTTGATTTCTGTGATTCATCACCATTTTTTATGACTTGTTCCCTACTTTGTCTAATGAAATGCGAAGCAAAATATCCATGTCAGCTCAACATATTGTAACCCACACACTCCCCCCCCCTGCCTGAAACGGCTCCATTGGACTTTTTTGTTTACTTCTGTAACATAGTGACATCACTACGTAACACTAGTGCTTCCATTGGTTAGCGCTCCAATACATTGTACGTGATTTGCGTACAATTTGAAAAACGGGTCAATTAAACTAGATTGTAAGTTTAGGAACATGCACACACACATAAGTTAAATGTCAGTGTCAGTGCCATTCACAACACTGGTGCTGTCTCCGATAGTGCTAAATCGGATTGAGCCATTCAGCTCCATAATAACAGAAATAATCTCTGTAAAGAGGCCAGTTCCTCACATCGAGGAGTCTATAATTCCCTCAATGGATAATCAAATGTGGTGCTGATTATCTGCCGCTCTTTATTGCAGCCCTCACTAAATGACGCCTAATAGCAAATGAAATCAGCCTACAGTGACTGATTGGTTAATTGGTTTTATTTGGGGAAGGGAGGGATTGCGTACAATTGGTTTTTGTGTAATTGGTTTTATTTGCAGAGTCATCAGACAAAGCACCCTAAGATAAATAATACATTTAGATCAGTCTGTAAGCATATCATTTAGTTTGCAAGGGAAGTTTAATTTGAATTTTTAAATTGCAGATACTTAAGAATACAACACTCTGACAAAGTTTATAACTATTGGCTTAGTTTAAAACCTGTTAAGCCCCAAGGTCCCCGCCGGCGGGTACCCTTGTTTTTTTTTCTCACGACACTGTGTCTCAGGGGATCTTAATATTTAAGAACCTATTAATGTGTTATACCAGATTAACGGGAATAATCTCAGCTAACTGATGATACAAACCATTTTTACCAAAACAAAACACAAGTCTCATAAGAAGCATCTAAATGACCCCTGAGCGAAAAATGCTAACCTATTACTGCACCGATAATCACTCCTAGCTCCCTTATTACTTATCCTAGGTGCACATCCAACACATCGTTTATGATCGCAAGGAGACACAGAATCTAACGGTGCCGATGCACCAAACTTACGTAGGAGAATGTTTGCTTGTGCATACATCATGCGGCATTGCCTAAGAAAAGACAGAGATGTCACATGTCAAAATCGAAGAAGGGGGGCCAGAGATAAGGAAAATCCACCCAAATCAAATGGCCCCAGAAGAGGTTTCTTTTGCTAAATCTGTCTAAAAAGGTCAAATATCACTTGTTTTGCATCAATCTTGATACAGGGTACTTATTATATGTTGTACTTTGGATTCCTAAAGCTTTTAGTCTACTAACCCATCATCCAAGGTTAGTTTTCACTATAAGTACAAAATATATTTTGGACGGACACTATAATTTACAGTTTTTTACCATGTTCAATCTGAATTTTCTTTAAAATAAAAACATCTATATTGATTCTGACATGTCTACATCAAACTCACAGTTTTATCATTACTTTGAGAAAAAAGATTATTAATTTAACCCTTTTAGAAGGGAAGATACATGGTCATTTGTTCTGAGAATGTCATTTTCGAGCCTGAAACCTGAAAAACAGGCTCGGGGCCTAACTGCTGGCCATGGAAAAGATTCTGCATTCGTAGACATAAATATATATATATTATAGATATAGATAGTATAAGACACCTTTTAAGATTGTGGCATTGAGCGAATTGTGATGATGCATGTTGTAAAATGAAAACATTTACAAATTTAAATAATCTTTAAACATCATTATTAAGAGGAATGGAAAATGCTCAGATAGAGTCATTAAGAAAATGAATTATTTGAAAAAAAATGAAATAATTAAAATCATCAAGGAAGTTTCCTGGAAATAACTATGTGTTACTAAGTATAGGGAAAATAAAGATTGTTCTCTTGATACACTTTCAACTTCTGGTAATTCATTTCGTCATATAGAGAGCCAAACATGCCGAGTTATAAAGGGAATCAAGTTTTCAACAAGAAGTTATTGATACATAAATATATAGATTTTTTTATTTAAAAAAATATATAAATTATGTTGAGAAAATTCTTCTTAATCAAAAAAATAAATAATGCGACCAAACCGGTAAATTAAAGTTGAGGTAAATTATTTTCTGAAGTAAAAATCCTACATACATTTTTCATAGAGGGCAGAGATGAAGTGCAGCGCCTGAGGTTAACCAGCAGAGAGTGACAGATATCTGATTTCAAACGGTGAACTTCCTGCACTGCTTTTCTTCTTGACAGCAGCACTTACCGCTCACAGCTGAATCTGGTGAGGAACTGGTTCATTCTGCCAACTCAGGGGGTGTTACAGCTTCAATGTATCAGTATCAAGTTTAGTCATTACTGCCACGTTCCCCACCTGCTGTAATGATCAGTCTCTCAAAGCTCATTATTTTAAAATGCTCAATCACCTCAAGTGATCCTTTATCTCCTTGTGACAAGAGGAGAAATCTGATCAGAGGACACTTAGGCCTCATCCCATCATTGCTCAGAGCCAACAGGAGATGACAAACACCAGGCGGCATGGGGCCTTTGATGGGTTCCTGTTTGTGGCTGTTTTGTCAGCTGAAAAGAAAAGCTGCTAAACCAAATATGGAAAATGAAATCAGAGCCGCTATCTTTTTTTCTGCCTTTCTATCTCTTTGTGTCTAGTTTCAGTGAGCAGGAAAAGCAGCAGGACAGAAAAGCACATTCACAGAGTGCCAGCAGATCTGCTACACTGCTCACACACATGCATGAAGAAAAGTACACAATACGACAAGCACACACACAGTCAGGAGAGTGTGTGTTGTGGACCGGTGGGTGTCAATTTGAATGCAAATTAAACGGCTCTCAGATTATTTTTTTTCAACAGCTAAAGTGTCAAGGCTAAAGATGCAATTTTTGGTGAATGTGTGTGTATTCATGATTTCATTCTCTGCATGTGTCCATTTTAGGACATAGTTGTGTGTCTGTGTGGGTGTGCAAGACCAGGAAACCCATGTGGAGCCCATGTTTTTGTGCATGTAGTATTTTGTGTGTGGGAGCAGAAGTAAAGATGATGATTGACTTTTTTATTGTTGTGTGTTCATTATCATGAGTTCAGTAATCAGTCTCTTCGCTTATGTAAACAATAACATTTGCGAGTCCCAATTTATTTGCATCAAAAAATGTAAAGATTACAGCTACTTTTACTAAAACGATTAATACAAAATTATGAAAAAGTCTAATGCTGTCGCGTTTGAAATGTTATGTTTTGACAAATAAACACATGGTGGCACCACCAGGACCTGGACCTGGATTTTTTCATAATTTTGTATTAATCGTTATCACCAGTAATAAAGAGGAAGAGAGATATTTTTGTGAAAGCTTTATCGAAGCTACTTCTGATATTTAAAACATGTGAGCGTTGGCACCATCATGTATCTCAAAATCGGTGTTTGATTGCACGATAACTGCACAACATGTCAATAAGAACAACATCTGTTCTTAAGGATAAGTTAGTTGACACACCTGAAACAAACAAAGAAAAAATGAATGTTGTTACAACTACATCTGTGCTTTTGAGTCTGCCAAGAAAAGGGAGCCTAACTCTGCTATCACTGCGATACTTTGAAGTAGCATCCCTCATCGTAAACACTACAGAGTAATGTTAATAATAATTATAATAACAATACAAATAACAATAATAGCTACATTACATTAATATAGTGTTTTCCTAATTTCCTAAGATGCTTTACATGAATGCAATTCACACAACAACAAAGATGAAATGAAGTAAATTAGAAACAAGAAAAAATACAGTTCAGTCCTGATAAACAGTGAAAATTAAACTGAAGAAAAGAAATAAATCTGCAGCTGCAGCAGAGAACAAGCTGCAGGTGTTTGTTTCGCTGCAGGAGGGCAGAGCTCGTTAAAACAAGTGGCATCTACCTTGATAAAAAAAACTATTTATTGCACCACCTGGTTAGGACCATAGCAACATAAGTTGTACTGATAATCAATTACAAATACACCACCAACTTCACAACATAGCCGGCACAGAATCAAACACACCCTCTCTGCGGCGTCATCTACAGGTGCATGATGGAGGTAGCTTACATGCTAAGTGCTAACATGCTAAGTGCTAACATGTGTGTGTTGTTGAACCTACAGCAGATATCTATACATTCACAGATGGACTTTAACATTTGTTGGGTGTGTGAGAATTAAAATTAAATAAGAAATAAATAAAAAATGTATA